GGTGAGCTGCATTTTGTCTCTCAATTGTGTCCCTGTTTTCGGGTGAGAGGCGGCTCGGTTATGTCTCTGTCTGTGGATGGGGCGCAACGGGGGATATTATTGGTGATAAAGGGTACCCGGTCTCTGGTGGGGAGCGACTGCCCGCGGCGTTACCCTCCCCACCACCCCTCATTTCATTGATAAGGGGAGGGTGATGCCGATTCCAGAGCATCCGATGGTTGCGGGGGGGGATGGGCTATTTTTGAACCAGGTGCTATATTAAAATGACCTCGTGTCACATCCTTCCAGCATGAGGCGGCAAGAAAATATAAAGGCTTCTCGGCTTTTGGGCTGGGATCAAAGTGTAGTATCTGCCCTCGGGCACAAAAACTGCATTTAATCTCTCAGTTGTGTCTTTGTTTTCGGACAGAGAGCAACTGAAAATATTATGAAGAGGTGACCGATCTCGGGTAACAGCTGCCCTCGGCAGTACCTCTGTCATTGCAGTAAAGAGGAGGAATCGGTTAGTAATACCGATTTCAGAGCAACGGACAGTTACTGGAGCTCAGCTGTTTTGGAACTTGACCCGTATGCACGCGCTTGGATTTTCCACATTGAACTGTCATATCCTGCGATCGTGGGACGGTAAAATATACAATCGATTCTCAGCCTTTTGGCTGCGATCAAAGTGTAGTATCTGTTCTTATCTGTTTAATCTGATTGATTCACTCCAAGCCTTTCTTTCTTTCTGAAACCAAGTAGTGTCTTCTCCCCCACTTTCGACGCGATCAAAATGGAATAATTCATTATTTATGAGTTATTAGCAGGGAGCAACGGTTGTGTGAATTAACAAAGGGAAGGACAATATCAATTATAATAGAATGATAATAATATTAATCCTTAAATATAATACGCCATATATATATATATATATATATATATATATATATATATATATATATATATATATATATATATATATATATTTTTTGGATAACTGGAATTAAGATACCTTTAGTTAATGATCATTTTCACCTACGAATTAACTAAAGATATCTTAATTCCAATTATAAAGAAAATTTTGCTCTGTTTAATGAAAATAAACATTGAGCGCTTTTTTGTGAGTCAGTTTTAACATATTTCAAATTCTAAGTTGTGTTAATAGGACTCGCCTGTATTATACCAACGGATATATATATATATATATATATATATATATATATATATATATATATATGAGTGTGTGTATAATAAACAATAAAATCCAAAATTACTTTATATGGGGAATAGCCTATTTCGGCAAACAAAGATATCGGTCATCTGTCTTATCAACCCCGGTGTGGACTGAATTCCTTTCTGTACAGTGAAAGATGGGTAGGAAATATAATTTAACTTGATTTTTTAGCTTTTACAGTTAAATTGTATCACCCGCCCCTCCTACATTTAATTTTGACGGCATTGGGCACTAGTAATAATAATAATAATAACCCTGATGCTACCGGGTGTAACCGTTGACGGCTTCAAATCTTAATTGGGGGTGTTAACAAATGATTTGTCTTGGTGAATTATGATGCTCAACACCACTGCTTGTAAATACCGACGCAGCAACTGTCTTGTCTAGGCTCGGCCAAAAATATAGCCTTTGAAGCCGATTAAACGGGGTTCAGGCCCTGTCTACTCCCGGACGAAAAGGGCGGACGCACTGTGCATATCTGTTCATGGCACAAGCCGGAGGCTCGGTAATGAGGGATAAACGGGTTCAGGCCCTGTTCATTCTCCCGGACGAAATGGCTGGGTATCGAGAGAGATATTATTATTTTTTTTAAATTTGATGAGTGTTGATTATACGGGTTCAGCCCTGTCCCACTCCCCCGGACGAAAGTTCCGGGTTTTCACAGAGTTCGGGAGGCTTGTATTTATTTCACCCACTTGAAAAGAATAAGTCGGTTTTAAAAGAGTCCGACGTAGGTCGGCCAAACAAAACGATTTCCCCGGACGAAACTTGAAATAAGAGTTAATGACGCCGATTAAGCAATCTAGTTGTGATGGTTGATACTTCAGAAAGAATTAAGGCGGGTTTTCGAGGCCTTTTCCACCTCCGACATCGACAGGACCTTGTGCTCAACACCACTGAGCCCAACTGGCCAGTCTGGTTGCTGCCACTACTTGGCACAAGGCCGGTTTTTTATCTGTGGCCAAAAAAAAAAGCCTTTTTGAAGCCGATTATCAGGCCCAATCCCGGAGAATAGGTATTATGGTCAAAGATAACAATGTATTTATCTTCTCACCCACGGAAAAGGCACAAGGCCGGTTTTTGTGGCGGGGGTGGTCACATCTAAATGCTTGGTAACGATCTCAAACTGAACCCCACATGCATAGTTATGTGCAATAGAATAGGTATTATGGTATAACAATTTTATTAAAAAAAAAAGAAAATTATCGCGCATATTTTGGTATAAAGAGAGGTCTGCATCCCTACAAATTTTGTCCAAGACAGTTTGGCACCGGGGTCGTAACAGAAGTTGCCAGAACGAAACTGAACATGACATTGGTCTGTCTTAGGAACTCCGGATTTGAATTTATTGTTTTCCTTCTCATAGTCTGGTTTCCAACCATGGCTACTATTTAAGGTTTTGAATTCAAAATGTTTCCATCTTCTAGGCCGGTTGCCACATAATGACTATAGGACCGAGTTCGTCCTGCTATTTACCCATAGTTGAGGGGAGAAGGGATGGATTCATAACTTTCCCTCGGGTATTTGCACTTAAGTGAATGCAACGGACCTTACTGGAATTCGAAATCGGTCTGTCTTAAGAACACCGACTCCTGATTTTGAATTCAGTGTTTTCCTTCTCTACTCTGGTTGCCAAAACACATGTTTTAGTATACCCTTATCGGACTGGGTGTCATGTTGGGTACATTGGGCTTCGTATATTTGTACTCCCCCCACCAACCACCACCACCAGCGGCTCTTAAAAACAACAACAATAAAGGGCGATAATCGCATTCTGCACCCCTACAAATCTTATGTTGACATATGAGGATCTGTCGATCTGGAGAGATCGAGGATCTACGACCGAAAAAGGCGCAGACCTGGGCAGTTTTGGGGTTTTTTTCTCTATCTATAAAAGGCAGGATGTGTGTGTGTGTATGTCTGTGTGTGTGTATGTGTGTGTGTGTTTGTAACGAATGCACGGCCGCAATTTTCGACGGATTTGCACCAAAATTTACACGCACATGCTCCAAGTTAGCGGGAAGGCCAAGACCGACTTTGCATTTCCCAACTCCCATCGATAGTGGAAATAATCGATTTTTTGATGCTTCTACGGCAGTTTTCATGTAGTTTGCGGCCATTTTCTACTGGCCAGAGTGAGAGCCTATAGCTGGCTGCCACGAATAGGCAGGAAGAGTCTATTGGCCAGCGTGAGAGCCAACAGCCGACTGACACGAATGTTAACTAGCATGCTAGCATGCAAAAACAAATCGATAGCTGCATTCGTCACAAGTGGGAAAAATTTAAATCTGCATGGCACTTTACTCCAATTGGCTGATTCGCTTGCTTAAACTCAACGTTGATTCTGATTCCGCAGAACTGGGTTGGGTGTGAAAAACTATTTGTTGTTAACATTTTTTTTTTCATTCAGTTTTTCCAGTTACGAGTCCTTTTTTAAAGCTGATCGTTTTGTGTTCATTTTGTTTAGTTCTTTTTTCCTAACAGATTTAATGTTTAGTATAGAGCTTAGAAAAATTTCGCAGTGTGAGATAGGCAAGGAGTAAGGCATGTAGCAACATCAGCACAGCAAAGGGAACTCCTTTAAAGGCAAGGAAGGGCAAAAATATTTTAAGTCAAGTGATAGCGATTGCTGTATGAGTCGTACGATTTTTGAATCAAGCACGGGCAACGCCGGGCCATGCTGCTAGTTATTACTATAGATCGGCAGTTGCTCACCCCACTCTACGCTACTAATGTTGTCCGAAACAGTTTGGCACCGGGGTCGTCACAGAAGTTGCCAGAAAGAAACTGAACATGACATTGGTCTGTCTTAGGAACTCCGGATTTGAATTTATTGTTTTCCTTCTCATAGTCTGGTTTCCAACCATGGCTACTATTTAAGGTTTTGAATTCAGAATGTTTCCATCTTCTAGGCCGGTTGCCATATAATGACTATAGGACCGAGTTCATCCTGCTATTTACCCATAGTTGAGGGGAGAAGGGATGGATTCATAACTTTCCCTCGGGTATTTGCACGTAAGTGAATGCAACGGACCTTACTGGAATTCGAAATCGGTTCCCTGATTCCTCAACCGAGGGGCAAAATATTATTTCACCGTGCCTCCTTACGTTAATATTTTACATATCTAGATGTCTCATCAGTGTATATTAAACGAAGCATTTCCTTTTTATCTATTTTCTATATTCCAGCTTCAGGATTTTTGTTGTTGTTGTTTTTTTTTTTGTTTTTGTTTTGTTTTTTTTCTTTTTTGTTTGTTTGTTTTTTTAATCAAGCAAGGTTGGAATGCCACAGAGGATTACAGAGAGTGGAGGTGAGGGAAAAGACTAAGTATGGGTTTTGTTTTTTTGGTTTGGTTTGGTTTGGTTTGGTTTGATTTACGGCATGTCAACACCTCAATGGGTTATTTAATTCTGCAAGATTTTATGCATTTATATATATATATATATATATATATATATATATATATATATATATATATATTGTAGACCCCGTATAAAACGAGGTCGGGTAACTGTTTCCGGAGACGAGAGTCTGCCCTTCGACATAGCCTGGGGTCCATAGCCGTATATGCTACAACATATATATATATATATATATATATATATATATATATATATATATATATATTATTGAAGTTTTAGGTAATTTTATTTTATTATTTGCGTCTAATTTTTGAATCTGATGAAAGCATTATAATTTTATGCGTCCAGTTTTATTATTTATTTTTCAAAAAAGGGAATGAGAAACTGATGAGTCTATCTATTTATGACTAGCATTATATTATTATTAGGCGTCCATATATATTTTATAGCAATAGATAGAAGATAATGCATACCTATATATAAAGATAGATAAAATAGAATAGAAAAGGAACACTGAGATAGATAGATAGATAGATAGATAGATAGATGAATAGATATGAACAGACTGAAATAGATTGAACAGACTGCAAATATATCATGTATATCATATATACATATCTATGTATCTAGATAGATAGATAGATAGATAGATAGATAGATAGATAGTGAATGCGGGTGTATATGGAGAATAGCATGTGCGTTTAATGGGTCTAGGCCCTTCTCCTTTTCAACCTTACTCTTGTAAACGTCGTGTAAGTGTGGCTGCGTCTACTAATTCCATGTAGGATTTACCGGTTTTCAAATGGAAAACCTTTTGGGAAACCTGAAATGATCTTTCAAATTATAAATCATCTTTCTTTCTGATAAAACTGAATTCGAAAAAAGATAATCAAAGATATAGCGAAAAATTGTTTAGAAATAAATAAAATGAATCCACAAGATAACAATATTTTTACCACCACCACAAAACAACAAAAAAGGAACAGGATAAAAAAAATGACGAGGTAAAAAACAGAACGAGGTAAAAGAAAAACAAACAGAACGAGGTAAAAAATGAACAAGCTAAATGGACTTAAAAACGTCTCGCGAACATTAATCCGCATTTTTGCGAGAGAGTTTTTAATGTATATATATATGTGTGTGTGTGTAAATAAATAGTGTTCAGTTGAAGGTTTTATTTATCTACCTGCTGGGGAAATCCATCGTAAGCTTTTATCTATTGAACATAATAATTAGCTTCCTTCCTTTATAAAAAAAAATGAACAGTTCCTTTCAGTTTTGATTCTTGCTTTTATTATTATTATTATTATTATTATTATTATTATTATTATTATTATTATCCTTTTAAACATGGCTGTTATCTTCTTTGTTTGTTTGTTTCATGAATTTGTTACGCAATCATTTGTTTAAATGCAGCTGTTTGTTCTTTTACCATTCTTTTTAAAAAGAATTTTATTTTATTTTCGATCCCCCTTCCATCATCCATTTTTTTTTTACTTTCAGCTCTAATCATGGCCAAACTTCCCTTACATGTCTAAATCGAGGCTGGAACAGCCAAAGCCTAATTACGCTATTGTTAGATTATATGGATTATATAATTGATAGAAAAAAAAAAACTCTTCAGAAAAACCGTGTGGGTACAAACAACAAAAAATTGATTACGAGTTTTTATATATATATATATATAGAGAGAGAGAGAGATAGATAGATAGATAGATAGATAGATAGATAGATAGATAGAGAGAGAGAGAGACAGAGAGAGAAAGAGAGAGAGACAGAGAGACAGAGTGACAGAGAGGGAAAGGAAAGGGGAGAGACAGATATAGAGAAATTCGTTGGCATATTAAGGTATTCAACTATTTATATGAAAATTCGCATTGTTTTCGATACAAACATACCTACTCTATTCGTAGTGTTTTTGAATATATATATATATATATATATATATATATATATATATATATATATATATATATAAAAGAAAGAGGTTGTAGTGGTTCCAAACTAGAGAAAAGTATGTATATTAAAAAGAAGAGAAGAGAGGTGCTGCAAACGTTTTTGGTTGTAATGTGGATTTTTTTTTTTAAATATTATGCTTTATTTTCCATAATTTTACTACACGTGTTTCTGGTCTCGCGACCGTCTTCAGGTAAAAGCGGAGATTTCTTCATATTATTAAGTTTTTCAATGTTAAATATTCTCGATATGAGACATTCTCTGTTTTTGTGTTAGTAATCCGAATGTCTTTCTTGAATTGGCAATGAAGAGTTCTGCGCGAAGGGTCATAAAACAAATAAGGTTGGTCCAAGAGAAATGATGAATTACTTATCGGCATTTTATCTTTAAATATTTTACTGACCCCTGTGTGTTCTTAGATCTGTTTCCATTTTCGTGTGTTTCTGTCAGCATGCCTGTATATATGCGTGCGTATATTCCCCCTCCATACGTATACTGTCTTACTACGAGGAATTAGTAAACTCAGTTGTATACATACACACGTACATACACATATATAATAATATACTAAAAAAACAACCAAAATAATTAAAAGCAAACGCCAATCTAAAAACCTAAAACTCATATTAACCTCATCTAAATTTAACCAACACACAATACAGGGAGTCACAAATTAGCTATTATCAAGTTTGTTTGTTGTTTTTTTTAATTAAATATGTATTTTTAATATATGCATCTCTATAGTGATAAGAATGTTTTTTTATCCAAGACATGATCTGCACGTTGTGGCCGTGTTTATACTTGATATTATTGAGTGTTGGATGTTTTTTTCTTTTTTTATTATTCATGTTTCCATTATTTGAAGCCTTTTTTTTTTTTACGTATGGACCAGGCTATTATGGTCGCAATTTCCACAAATATGTTAAGATTTCCCGAATACGCAGGCCGGTAGACGCAATACACACCGTTTAATATAAAAATGGGATGTTCAGCATAATAACATTTTTAAATAATGACGTAATAATTCTTTTCTCCGGTTCCGACCATTTTCGTGGTTTCCGGGAAGATTTTGAACAGAAATTGTCCAATGTCGCGATAGAAACTTATAATTCAACAAAGATGTTTTGATAATGATCTAGAAATTTACAATAGTTCAGAAAACATTGATAAATTTATGCTCAAACTCTGAGAGGAAAACGACGAAATGGCCCGAATGTTTTATTTAAGCAGCAAATATTCATCCAAGCAAGCTTTATTTAATTCAACAGGCTGTCTGTCTGTCTATTTATTTTAATTGCATTTTCCAATTTTTGAATAAAAGGTTGTGTATCAGGATTGAACTTATGGATAAACTGTTAATGTTTGTTCTGTTGTTTTTTTTTCCTGCATATTCCAATGTCTTAATCAAGACATTATCAAGAGACGCATACTACCAGCGTCTTAGACAAGATTCCATTAGCTATATCACACCAGAAACAAAACCACCACTTATTATGCGTTCTCGTTTGTTTTTGTAAGATTCGGAATGGGGTATTGGGGTATTGCATATTAAATATTTTATACACAAATCAAGACACAATATGCTGTGGTGGAAGATATTTTAATTAATGAGGGTAGCTTATTGCATTATATTACATGTATAATTATATATATTATATTACATTTAATTTACATATTAATTATATTATATTATATATATACACACACGCATACACACACGCATATACACACACACACTTATACTGAGAATCAGAAAGTGACAAGCATCAGAGATGTGTTTCTACAGAAGAAGGATGAGAATACGATGGACAAATCATGTGAGCAATGAGGAAGTTTTAAGGAAAATGGCAACAAAAAGGACACTTCTACTTAGAATCATAAAGAGACAAGCATCAGAGATGTGGTTCTACAGAAGAAGGCTGAGAATACCATAGACGGAGCATGTGAGCAATGAGGAAGTTTTAAGGAAAATGGAAACAAAAAGGACACTTATACTTAGAATCAGAAAGAGACATGCATCAGAGATGTGGTTCTACAGAAGAAGGCTGAGAATACCACGGATGGAGCATGTGAGCAATGAGGAAGTTTTAAGGAAAATGGAAACAAAAAGGACACTTATACTTAGAATCAGAAAGAGACAAGCATCAGAGATGTGGTTCTACAGAAGAAGGGTGAGAATACGATGGACAAATCATGTGAGCAATGAGGAAGTTTTAAGAAAAATGGAAACAAAAAGGACACTTATACTTCGAATCAGAACCAGACAAGCATCAGAGATGTGGTTCTACAGAAGAAGGCTGAGATTACCATTGATGGAGCATATGTGCAACGAGAAAATTTGAAGGCAAATGGAAACCAAAAGGACACATACTTAGAATCAGAATGAGGCAATCATCAGAGATGTTGTTCTACAGAAGAACGCTGAGAATGCCATGGACTAAGCATTTGTGGAATGAAGAAGTTTTAATGAAAGTGGAATCAAAAAAGACACTTATAGTTAGAATCAGAAAGTACCAAGCATCAGTGATTTGGTTTTAGATAAGAAGGACATAATGAAGTCAATGAAGCAATGAGAATAAACGAGTAACTTACCTAAAGCGTTTTTTTTTTAAAACGGATAGCAAAATCCGGGGAAAATTGTTATTTCGGGGAAATTCATTGCTTAGAGATATAATGAATAGAAAGTTGCCTATAATTGCCTATAATTGCCTATTTACTGAAGAAGCACAATACATTGAACCTAGAGGTGAACCCAAAGCTATACCATAACCTCTGCCTATGTAGAGATGGTCATAGAATGGGACTTGAGCAGAACAGCTTTTTTCATGTACGCTGATTTTTGAGATCTTATCTTATTGGTAATGATTTGTTTAGTTGTTTTATGCATTTTTGTAATAAATTATTAATAGTATCTATTGCAAACATTAAGTGATATGTAAATTACTTTTTTCATAACTTTTTGATCCTGTCTTTGGTTAGGGTCAGTCACTATGTGCCATGCGTGATACACGCTTAGGCAATTATGTATCTTTCGAGACAGATTTTTCCCCATATTAGGTTGCCATTTCTTTCTGCGGTAGACCAGTCTCCATCCAACGGTATAGAACCCGGTCTGTCCTGCTATTTACCCCAAACTGAGTGGGAGAAGAAGAGGATTCATACCTTCCCAAGGTTATTAGCCCGTACGTAAATGTAATGGATTCAACTTGAATTCGAACTCTCTAATTAAAGCAGAATGAATTATTGATGGTTTTTATTTTTGTTCATATCAGGATGATTGCTTGTAATATTTTTTTATAACTGCAACGTTAATTTATATTGCCCTTTAACGATGTCGTTAGGGAAATTGTTGTCAACTGGTGTCTGTTTTATAATGGAGTATACTATTTCTGAGATGAGTAATTGTCACTATTTTAGTAATATTTTGAATTATTGTTCTGATCTTGGTCGATATAAATGTTATTATAGACACAACGTTTCGACCAAATATCATCTGGTCATCATCCGGTTTTACATGTGTTATTATCATCCAGTGGTCATGTGATAATCTTTGGATGTGGAAGTGAAGCACCAATTCATCAGGAATGAAAAACAATTGTTATCAAAGGGACAAAATCTCACAATAATCAACAGATATTCTATATCTGCCAATCATTGAACACCTGATGATGACCAGATGTTACGTGGTAGAAACTTTGCGTCTATGTCATTCAAGATGAGAACAATATTTCGAAACAATACATGAAAGTTTATTTTATGCCAATCATTTCATTATCAGATAATTTTATATCTGGCGGGCAAATTCTATTCGAAAATTGTTAGGTTTCATTGATTGATTGAATCAAATTTAGTATGGGGGCACCTAGTGTGGATCAGACTCATTACTCAGTAGTGATTGTCAACCAGACTAACATTGATGATCCTTATCCTATGTTGACTTACATGGAATTTATTTTATTATGAATATGCGCTATAAATAATTTTACTATAAAAATGCATTGCAAATGATTTTATTATGGAAATTCATTGCAAATGATTTTACTATGAAAATGCATTGCAACTGATTTTACTCTGAAAATGAATTGCAACTGATTTTACTATAAAAATGCACAGCAAATGATTTTACTATAAAAATGCATTACAAATGATTTTACTACGAAAATGCATTGCATTTGATTTTACTATGAATATACATTCTAAATGATTTTATTATGAAAATGCATTACAAATGACTTTACTATCAAAATGCATTGCAAATGACTTTACTATAAAAATGCATTGCAAATGATTTTACAATGAAAATGCATTATAAATGATTTTACAATGAAAATGCATTGTAAATTATTTTATGATGAAAATACATTGCAAATGATTTTACTATAAAAATACATTGCAAATGATTTTACTATAAAAAATCATTGCAAATGATTTGACTATGAAATGCATTGCAAACGATTTTTCTATGGAAATGCATTGTAGATGATTTTACGATAAAAATGCATTGCAAATGATTTTACAATGAAAATGCATTGTAAATGATTTTACTATGAAATTCCATTGCAAATGATTTTACTATAAAAATCATTGCAAATGATTTTACTACGAAAATGCATTGCAATTGATTTTACTATGAATATACATTGTAAATGATTTTATTACGAAAATGCATTACAAATGACTTTACTATAAAAATGCATTGCAAATGATTTTACTATGAAAATGCATTGTAAATGATTTTATGATGAAAATACATTGCAAATGATTTTACTACAAAAATGCATTGCAAATGATTTTACTATAAAAATGCATTACAAATGACTTTACTATGAAAATGCATTGCAAACGATTTTTCTATGGAAATGATTTGTAGATGATTTTACGATGAAAATACATTGCAAATGATTTTACGATGAAAACATATTGCAAATGATTGCTATTACTATAGGAAATGTTTTAAGGGGTTAGATTCTTTCGTCTCAGCAACTCAGTCCTTTAGAACTAGGACACGCCCTGCTTTGTTCACGGTGGCATATCACCCACATTCCCTTCGCGTTCCTCTGTTAAAAAAAGCAAGTTCCACTCAGACAACTTGGCTGGACGGTGTTTTCCCCTACAAAGGGGATTCAGGTTTGAATCATACCGAACAGCATATTTCTATATTAGATCTCTCGAATGTACAGGCTGGTAGAAATAATTGACCCTGTTTAAAGAACCAGGATGTTTACTCAAACACGTGTATCGACTTCAGTCTGTTGTTAACTGGAGCAAAGGATGGCCTGTTAATTTTAACCTCTCCATAACTAAACTGCTCTCTATTAATCATCTGAAGGATTTCTTTCTACCTTCCATCAGTATGGCTGATGCTATCCCCCAAGTGAGTGATTCATTGCACCTTCTGGGGCTAACGTTCTCGGCGGACATAAAGTGGAAAGACTATATTGAATCCATCAGCTGCTAAAAAAGGTAGTTCAGAATCTCGTCCTAGACATTTTTGCTCTCCAGAATCTATCTTACATATCTATAAGTCTACCATATCTCCATGCTTTGAATACAGCTGCTACATATGGTCCGCTGTTCCTGTTATTTACCTTGAGCTCCTTGATAAAATCAAAAGAAGAATCAGCAATATTATTGGTCCTAATCAGGCAGCCCAGCTTAAGTCACTTTCCTACCACCGATCCATCACCAATTTACAGTTGAGCTGGTTAGATGCAACCGTAAGTTCTATGATAACAGTTTCTTCTCTCGCACTTCTCACTTGTGGAACTATCTTTCAGCTCCATGATATCCAGTCAATTTATATTTCTTTCCGCAGCTGCAGAAAGAAATATTAAGGGGAGATAAGCCGCCCCTTAAGGTAAGGCTTAAAGAACACCAAAAAGCTGTAACACGAGGGGAAGTGGAAAAATCAGGCGTGGCTGACCACATATGGAGAGAAAATGGAAATTACCGCCCTCTATGGGATCAGGTTGAAATCATAGATAAAGAACATCATTGGAAAATTCGTAAACTTAAGGAATCAGCATATATGCTAGGCCAGAAAAATCTCCTGAGCCGACCAAGCATAGAAATGAATACAATATGGGGAACCATTGGAGTGCTAGAGAAACGCAATAATAACAACGAAAATTGCAATATGAGCTCTAGTAAAAAACATGCAATGATAACAGCAAAAATTGCAATATGAGAACTGGTAAATAAGGTTGCTGAAAACATTAGGTTTATAATACCCAGAAATTCATGCACAGATATCCTCAAGAACAGATGGCACCGTGGATAAAGGCGTTAGTTAGATCCAGTGACAGGACCCAAAGAGTGTGAGTTCAATACCTGGTTAAGGTAGTGGAGAACTTAGAGAGAGGAATTAAGGGGAGATAACTGATAAGTAACATCCATTAGACATGGCACGTGGAACTAGAACAGTCTACGCCAGCGAGCGAAATAAAGGGTTCAGTTAGACATTCCAACCACCTGATGAAGGCTGGAGCGTACAACGGCCGAGCAATAGTGTACATAATGACTCATCTCAGAAATATAGACAGATACGGTAAACATAAAGCTTCAAAAATTTAAATAAAATGTCAATCGCTATCTACTGTCCAACAGATTGCTCTTTTTTTGTTCTCACGTGTTTCTGTTTTCTTCCACACCCAATAATCACTTGTGTATTAATGGCTTTACTGCCTTGTTTAGGGTAAACTTGATTAAAAAAATTAAATTTAAAAGAATAACGTTTTGAGTAATAAGAAATAATGTCTGATTAAATATAAAAGTCTTTAATTACATAGATACAAAGCGAGTACGTTTTTCTTTTCTTCTTTTCCGCGGGAATATTTGTATACAACTAACAGTTAACACAAGAAAGAAAGAAAGAAAGAAAGAAAGAAAGAAAGAAAAATCGATTAAACAGACGAAAAAGAAAGAAAGAAAAAGAAAGATAAATCGATTAAACAGACGAAAAAGAAAGAAAGAAAAATCTACAAAAGTAGACACGAAAAAGAAAGAAAGAAAGAAAGAAAGAAAGAAAGAAAGAAAGAAAGAAAGAAAAAAAAAAAGAAATAATAATATGATTTTCTTTTCATCTTTTCCAAGGGAATATTTGCACACACTTAACAGTTAACACACTTAATAAAGAAAGAAACAAACAAACAAACAAAGAAAAATCGACTAAACAGACGAAAAAGAAAGAAAGAAAAAAGAAAACTCATCTAAACAGACGAAAAAGAAACCAGAAAGAAAATAAAAAAATCAACAAAAACACGAAAAAAGAAAGAAATATCGACAAAAGAAGAGAGAAAATGAAAGAAAGAAAGAAAGAAAGAAAGAAAATCGACAAAACAGACGAAAAAAGCAAGAATGAAAAAGAAATGAAAGAAAAATTAACAAAAGACGCGACGAAAAAGAAAGAGAAAAGGATGAAAAAAGAAAAATCGACAAAACAGACGAAAAAGAAAGAATGAAAAATCGACAAAAGAAGAGACAAAGAAGAAAGAAAGAGAGAAAGAAAAATCGATAAAATAGACGAAAAAGAAGGAAAGAAAGAAAGAAAGAAAGAAAGAAAAAGGAAGGAAAAAGAAAGGAAGAATCAAATAAAAATAGACGCAAGAATAAACAAAGAAAGAAAATAAGACAAAAGAAGCGACGAAAAAGAAAGAATATTTTTTTAAAAGCTCTTAAATTCTTTTTTCGATGACTTTTCAATATTTTTCTTACTTTCTAGAAATGTCCTTCTCTTGTTTGACTTCCTACTTGCAACCCTTAACCCCATTCGCTCCTCACTACCACCCAGCAACTACCCCTCTTTCAACCCAGACGCACCATGATCCAAGCACCCATTCTATCATCTCTAACTCTTTTTTCATCAAAGAAAATATCCGTTTTATGGTGTTTTTTAAGTTTGGGTTTTTTTTTTTTAGGGGATTCTTTATTAAATTTTATTCTCAGTAAACTTTTATTTAAAATACTTAATCTACCTTTCCCCCAGATTATTTAATTTTAATGAAAACCGGACAAGAAGACAATTTCACAATAAATTTGCTTTTTTTCTCTTTCACTTTACTTTCGTTTTGTGTTTTTTACAATTTAAAAAAAAAATTAAATGTGTCTGTTTTTTATATAAGGTTTTGCGATTGATGAGTTGTGGATGGAGCGATCAATTGGGTATTGGTGGGAGTACGTTTGATTCTGAGAACGGCACAATCTTATCGGTTTGCATTTGAAAAATGGAGGAAAGAGATCGTCTAAGTGGTTGGCCGGTTACACAGATTAAGAAAGAAAGAAACAAACAAAGGCGTGAAGAAAAGAACAATGAAAAAGAAAGAAAGAAAGAATAAATAAAAGAAAGAAAGAAAGAAAGATTAGAAAAGATTAGAAAGATACGGAAAAGAAAGAAAGTACAACAAAGACGAAAAAGAAAGAAAGGCTTGATAAGAATAAATAAAAAGAAAGAAAGAAAAAGAACAGAAAGAAAGAAAGAAAGAAAGAAAGAAAGTGCACAGATTAAGAAAGAAACGAACAATGTCGTGAAGAAAATAAAAATGAAAAAGAAAGATTAGAAAAAACACGAAAGGGGAAGGCTTCATAAGAATATATGAAACAAACAATAGAAAGAAAGAAAGAAAGAAAGAAAGAAAGAAAGAAAGAAAAAGAACGAAAGAAAGAAAATGGCTGGCCGGGTGCACAAATTAAGTAACAAACAATGGCGTGAAGAAAATAACAATGAAAAAGAAAGAAAGAAGAAAAAGAAAGAAAAGTAGACAAAAGAGACGAAAAAAGTACAAAAAAATTAAACGAAAAAAAAAAAGAAATGCTTGATAAGAACATGCCAAAAATAAAGAAAGAAAAGGACAAATGGAAAAAAAGAAAGAAAGAAAGAAAGGCCAGAAAAAGATACGCAAAAGAAATTTTTAAAAAATAGACGGAAAAAAGAAAGGAATGATAAGAACTTACAAAAATAAAGAAAGAAAAAGGAAGGTAATAATTGACGATAGAAACAATAGAAAGAAGGATAGAAAGAATGAAAGAAAGAAAGTTCAGAAAAAATACGTCACAACGAAAGGCTTAAAAAAAAGGGAAGAAAGAAGGAAATGCTTAAAAAAAAGAATGAATAAAGAAAAAGAAACACAGAAAGGAATGAAAGACTAAGAAAGAGATAAGAAAAATGAAAAACGAAAAGAACGGCAAAACGCAAAAAGAATAAGCGAAAAGGAAATGAGAAAGAAACTAACAAAGGAAAATAGAATGAAAGACAAAAAGAAAGATAGAAATAAAAACTTGAATGAAAAAATAGGAAAAAAATAAAATGCTAGAAAACTGAAGTTAAAAAGGAAAAACAGAAGAATTGAAATGAAACAAGAAAAAAAGGAAACATTGAAGAAGACATAAGAAAGAAAGAAAGAAAGAAAGAAAGAAAGAAAGAAAGAAAGAAAGAAAGGAAACATTACAAAAAAGACTTGAAACCTAACTAAAAGAAAAGTGTATACAAAGAAAAACGGGTAAAAGAAAGAAAGGAAGTAAGAAAGAAAGACAGAAAGAAAGAAAGAAAAAAGAAAGAGGAAAAAGAAAAAGGAAAAAGAAAGAGGAAAAGAATAAAAGGTAAAAGGAAGAACATTGAAAAAACTAAGGAAAATATAGATCATAATTATTAAAATAAATACAAAACAGATATAAAAGAAAATCTAAAAATTAGGCCGAAAAAAGAAAGAACGGTTAGAAAAAAAAGGCCTAGAAAACTATCCAGAAGAAAAGCTTATAGAAAGAAAGAAAGAAAGATAAAAAGAAAGAAAGAAAGAAAGAAAGAAAGAAAGGAAGAAAGAAAGAAAGAAAGGAAGATAAAAAGAAAGGAAGAAAGAAAGAAAGAAAGAAAGAAAGATAAAAAGAAAGGAAGAAAGAAAGAAAGAAAGAAATGAAACAAAGGCGAAAGAAAGAAAGATGAAAAAGAAAGATAGCCAAAAAAGAAAAGCTTGAGGGAAGAACATTGAAAAAAAAGTAAGGAAAATATTGATGAAAATCATTAAAAACAGAAAAATTAATGTAAAAGAAAAGAAAAAAAAACACGAAAGAAAGAAACAAACAAACAAACAAAAAGCATAATTTTCTCAAACCGAAGAATATGCCCATCCAATTTTCTCAAGTCAATCAATTAAATACTTTGAGGTTTTAATTAACCAAAAATTTGGATCAACCACAAGTAAACATTTTTATTTTTGCTGACAATACTGTGGATAATCTCAGCCTTGCAGATGGTAGCAATTTCAAATTCTATTCTTGTGAGGCTCAGTTTGTTTCTTGCCATTTCAAGATAACAGACAACATTCCTGCCTTTTCTGATACCGGATTTACTTGATGACTTTCACAAGTTGTTCACGATGACATTTCGATAACAAATTTTGCCTGACAAATTCAAATGTTTTTAGAAAACCTTTTCACTTAGGAAACTACTAAGGAGATTGGAAATATTTTTGTTGTTATACATATGTACATCGAACTTAATATCTATCAGGAATTTTGATTCAAGGAGAGTTCATCGGTTAATGACCCTAATATGTAGTAAATTCACCTTAAACTATACCAGATGGTCTGAATCGAATTTAATGATCATGTGGGACTTTGATCTAAGAAGAATTAATCATTAGTGACACCAATATGATCTGGGTGCATCTTAAGATATACCAGAGTTCTGAATCGACTTTAATGTCCCTCAAGAACTTTGATCTAAGAAGAATTGATCTATAGTAACCCATATATGTACAGCGTTAACTTTAAGATATAACAGAAGTCTGAATCGAATTTAATGTCTCTCAGGAACCTTTATTAAATAAGAATTGACTTGTGCTGTCTCCAGTTTGTACTTGGTTAAGCATAAGATATACCAGGGGTCTGGATCGATTTTAATGCCCCTCAGGAACTTTGATCTCAGAAGAATTGATCTGTGACGACCCCACTATGAACAGGGTTAAGTTTAAGATATAACAGAGGTTTGAATCGATTTTAATGCCCCTCAGGAAATTTGATCTAAAAAGAATTGACTGGGGCAACCCATATATGTACTGGGTTAACTTTAAGATTTACCAGAGATCTGAATCGAATTTAATGTCTCTCGGGAACTTTTATTAAAGAATAATTAACATGTGGTGTCTCCAGTATGTACTGGGATAGCCTTAAGATATACCAGATGTTAATCGATTTTAATATACCTCGGGAAGTTTGATCTAAGAAAAATTGATCTGTGTTGACCACAATATGCACTGGATTAACCCTAACAGATACCAAATTAAGCTTTACCCTCGATGTCACGCCAGAGCAATAGAGGAGCAATGTACGTTTACGGTTGATCTAGTAGGTCTCCTCATGGCTACCAGGTCCAAAATCGAAACTCAAAGGATGTCAATGGTTTCCCCTGACTTATAAAAGAAAGGACAATCCAGCTGAGCTTAGAATGCGCACGCGTGGTTCAGCCGAATGACATGAACTTCGATAGGGAAGCCAAAGTCCCTCACATCACCGTGACAAGAAGATCAAGGTTCAAAAAAATTTCCCAAGTCTACACACTCTCATGCCGGCATTAATTTGACCGGAAGTGAATAAGTAATAATTTTACATTATTTATATTATTTGGACTGTTATCATCATCTTCATTGCAATATTCACAATTGTGAATATGACAATGAAGATGGGGATAACAGTCCGAATATCTTAAATAATGTAAACAATCATAATACCTCATCTCAGGGATATAGATAATAATTTTACCTATTAAATACTTGCCTTCTTATTCTTATTAGTCTTTTTAGCGATAATGTGACATATACGAAGCATACGTTAAGTCATAAATTTGGCGGGCACCCACTGCGGATCAAACTCACTATTGTATTAATTATATACTGGGTTGTTATGCTGATCATTATTCCTCGGCGAGATGACTTTAACATATTCTTAATTTATTTATCATTTCACCCCAAGCAATCGGCTACTGGGAGTGAAAGAGAATGAGGAGACTTTAGAAGGAACTGGAAATCCGTTCCTAAAGAGGAAAAAGGGGTAAACGTGCGTACAAAAGATAGGGGGGTTGTGGAACAGATGATAGGCGAGCCGGTTACTTTGTCCAGTTGGATATGGGACAAGATCATGAATATTGAACACCCAGTAAGGATCAAACTCATTATAACAGTGGCCTAGAAAGTTTTTCAAATAACGACACTCTTACAGCATAAATATTAAACAATTTCATTTTTGTTCATCTGCTTCCGTTAGTAAAAAATAAGTATATATAAATGAAATAAAACACTGGTCAAGATTCGGTTAAGCAAAGTTAAATAAATAAAATATTCACAAAAACAGGTTTTTAGCGTATTCTTTGGAAGATAAACCGCACAGATGTGTAAGACAGACGTTTCTTCTTTTGAAGATAAACTTTTAAACAAAAAATAAAAGTTACAGCCATATCAGAAAGATTATTTTCTTGAACAAAACTTTGATAAACTTAGCTTAAATTGTTCTCAACACAACAGTGGTTACAACATCAGAACATGAAAACACTGTAAAAAAACGATTTATTGCTGTTTAGTTGGGTTCAAAACCTACAACATCCTCATTGTTTTTACTATTGATTTGATAGGAACCATTTCATCATTGGATCCAATATTAGGATCAAAGATAATGCCATCCTCATTGCTTTCAGTACCGTTAAGGAATCTGACATTTCATCATTGGATCCAATATTAGGATCAAAGATAATGCCATCCTCATTGCTTTCAGTACCGTTAAGGAATCTGACATTTCATCATTGGATCCAATATTAGGATCAAAGGAATCTTTCAGTACCGTTAAGGAATCTGACATTTCATCATTGGATCCAATATTAGGATCAAAGATAATGCCATCCTCATTGCTTTCAGTCCCGTTAAGGAATCTGACATTTCATCATTTCATCATTGGATCAAAATAATGCCATCCTCATTGAAAAGAATCTGACATTTTCAATATTAGGATCAAAGAAAAGGTCTTCCTTATTACTTTCAGTTTGAAAAGAATCAGAAATTGTTAATCGAAGAGCCAAATTCCAATTCCCGCTGGGTTCGTTATATTCGCTTACGCGCAAATACAATTGGGAAAGGCATGAATCCACCTCTTTTCCCCAGCCTTGGGTTAATTAGTTTAATTTTTTATCAGATTTTTTATCCCAAAATAAAATTCATACAATCTAAAAATATTTTCAGGCTTTAATAACCTGCAAATGGTTTGATAAGTCGTAGAAAACGAATCAATCAATCAAAAACCTGCAGATAAGTGATCATGGCTCTCCACGAATTCCTTCTTGTTAAAGATAGTCGTGTGATTCCACGTTGACTTTTACCATTGTTTTGAATTCCGCTTAACCTTTCTCCGAGAATGGTGACCTTTCAAGACAGGTGACAGGTGACAGATCTCAGCTTGCGTCATTTTTAATCCATGCTGATTGGGCAGAGGGGGCTGTTGATGGATTTATGCATTTCCAAGAGGAGGCTGGGAATTGAACACGACACGCCAAGACCAGTTTCCGAATACCTTTAGTTAGGTTTTAACTCTCTGAAATATATGACCCAACGCCACGAACTGCTTCCACTACAAGCTCTCCCCATTTTTACATTGATAAATACAGTTATCAACAATGAGAAGCCGTTTCCTCTTTGCGATAGTCATTCAACCATCTTGCTGGACCAATACTTCCTACTGTTATCTTCTTTATTTATATTATATATATATATATATATACTATTTACATTAGTCGGACTATTGTCCTCATTGTCGCAACGTTTCGGCCTTTGTACGCTCCGGCCTTCTTCAGGTGGTTGGAATTTCGAACTGAACTCTTTATTTCGATCACTGGTTCCAGGTGCCATGTCTAATGGATGTCAGTTATCAGTTATCTCCTGCTAATTTTCCCTCTGAAAGTTCTCCACTGCCTTAACCAGGTATTGAACTCACCTTCTTTGGGTCTGTCACTGGATCTAACCAACGCCTTTATGCCATGTGTCCGTGAGGACATCTGGGTATGAACTTCTGAGTATTATAAACCTAATGTTTTTCAGCATCATTTTTACCAGTGCTCATATTGCAATTTTGCTGTTATCATTGCATGTCTTTACCAGAGTTCATATTGCAACTTTGTTATCATTGTTATCATATATATATATATATATATATATATATATATATATATATATATATATATAATGGACTCTCCGTCGGTTTCGACATATGAGGATCTGACAGCTTAATTGTTTCAATTATGAAATTTTGTGCGATAATTTGTGCACTTAAGACCCGCTAGTGATTTACAAAGGGAGCCACATATGGAGCAAGAGTGAGGATTGTGGGATGAGATCACTGTTAGATTGGCTGACCTTTTAGATCTTTCTCTCGCTTCTTGAAGACGATTCAGACAAGCAGATCGAAAACTGCTGAGTTCACTAAAACCGGCTCCAAGTCTATATATATATATATATATATATATATATATATATATATATATATATATATATATATATATATGAAGAAATATAGTCTTAAGGTGTGCTATATTTATGGGATAAAATGCTCGATATCAGAGATAGAGTGTGTGTAAATATAAAAGTGAACATAGAAGTCAACACTTAGAGGCGACAGTCTGTTTCATGCTATATGCAATCGTCAGGCCACATGTGCTGTTATTTTTCTCGGCTATTTATACATAGCTAGAACATTTACGACTGAGTAGTGAGTTCGATCCTCACTGAGTGCTCCATTCCGTCAGCCTCTTGCCACATCTAAGCTATGCTTAGAAAATCACCATATCACTACACCATTATTATCTAAAGAAAATAAAATAAAATAAAATAAAATTGCTTACAAAATTATTTAGATTTCGCTATTAAATAACCTATTGAGGTGTTGATATGCCGCTGGGCAAAAACAACCAAGATACCTGTCCATATGAAATTTCGCTTACTACTGAAAC